GTATACGACGTTCAGAGAACTGGAAACTACATCGAATTGCCGGTCCCGCTTAACTTAAACGTCAATGGTAAATTGTTCCACATCGGCCGATGTAATGGCTGTCTTAAATTTTGCTTTGAGAGCCGGGGCTTATGCGCATAGCAACAAAAATAGCCATACATTACATAGTAACTTATTCCAAACGGGCTGAAGGTCAAATAATGGCCTACAAAACTATGTACGTCAGATCTATTTTAGGGCTATATGAAAATTACCTAATTATTCTATTAAATCTACGAACAATTTTATTAGCATGGTAAGCTTGCTGATCTAAACACATCCGTTACGTGTGATGTATACAAAGCGTCTGGTTCGTGGTCGCATCAGCTGGTAACGGACCACCGTTATGTGTTCTTGCAACGCGCTGGAATTGGCGTCATCGTGGGGCAGCTATGTTCTGTTTATCTCAAACAATAACCTCACACAATCTCAGGGGGGTGTGCCAACAACCGTGTTTGTATTGACACTTCACTCTGGCATACCAACGTCCGGGCCAACAAAGCTACAACACTATTCGAAGTTTGTGTCTCTGGACACACAAGGACTACAAATTCCGGACTCGTCCCGTTTAAGCTAGTGAAATACAAACTTCGTCTGTAAAAACGTCACATGAACATTTAAAAGCTACAGGATAGAAGAACAACCTAAAGGTGACGGCACTTCTTCGCGGAACTCTTAAATAACAACGCTTTTCAGTCTTCAAATTTGTCACTCACTTTGTCCGTGTTAATATATTACCTTTCCGAATTGGAGTGAAAACGGCTTTAAAATTGCAGCAGAACCTATTTGTATAGTAGATGGACGGGATTCCAGAACATGGCTGTGCCACTCGCGTCCGGTTACCCAAACAGATTGTCGGGACAATACAAGGTGAATACCCGTTATGAGATTGTAACGTTATTCGACGCTATAGAAAGATAATTAGGTGTTAGTCTAATACGTTGCTCTGAACGAGGATGCGAATCTTCGATGAAGCAAAAATGACAGAAAGATTCAGTCTACCGCAAAGCAAATGTCCAAAAAATAATTATTATAGCGTACTATGTATTTGGTGTCATTTTTGACCATCTTTTATTGTGAAAAATCTTTGTTTATTCTAACTGATTTTACTAAAGATTAGGTAATCGTTCGTACAGCTTTCCTCTCTCGTTTACGCCGAGAAACCTTCTTGCAAAAAATACGAATCAGTAGAAAACGGGGACAAAAGGAGGGGGGAAAAAGGACTACGTTGGAGGTGTTTGGTGGGTCGATCTGTTTACCATCAAGATTCGCCAATTAGATTCAATCCATGTTTATGCATTGTTACGTTTCGTTCTGTAAACTAACATCCTAATCAAAATTTATCCCTATTTTGCTCGCAACTAATTTGCTTGTTTTATCTCGCTATAAACGATCGGGTCTTTACTGGCAATTGCACTATCACTGATTTCATTTAGCTAGTTATCTTGTTATTGAGCACCCAGATAATATGCTCCATATAAAATAGCTACCCACTAATGTGTTTGCTGATCCTCGTCCAGTTTATGGGGCGTCCAGGCTCACGCTTTGCGTTTTGATACAGTGGTATTTAAAAAACATTAACGTCTGATACTTATTCAGCATGAAACGACGTGTCTAGGCCAAGTGTCGAAGCTGGACTATTGCATACTCCGGAGTTTGATATGCACCCACGTTACCTTCTGCGCTGATGCGGAGACATGATAGATTAGTATCTGCGGCCTATTTTGTTTGCCGCTTGAAGAGCTGTTTGGCATTGAAGGCCTCCCTAGATCTTGGGCGACCAATTGAAGTACGGTGCATTTTTTGGGACTTCTACGCAGTCTTTGCATTTAGCAGCTAGTTCTGTCGCCGTACGCCACACAAATATTTCGCTCTAAACACAATAGCCTTTCGATGCTAGCAGAGACAAAATAAAAAAATATTTTTTGTCCGTAAAACATTCATCCTCGAAGTCTGAATCCTAGTAAAATTTAGCTAGCCTTATAACCCGAGCAAGCTTCAGGGAAAATTACCGATTAAAAACAGTAGTTTTTGACTGTTCTAACATTGAAATTATGTATTTTTATTAAGAAAAAAATGTGCCATTTACTGTTCACATATTCTTGAATACCTCAACGAGCTGTTCTCACCTATTTATTAATCTATCACTCAATCGCTAAACTGAATTGAAAAATGCTAAAAGCCCCTGCTACAGAACCGCTAAATTTCATATGTATTTTCGATCTATACATATAAAGTATGAAACAATGTAAAATATGACTAAACTTACCATTTATAAGGTGAAAAGCACTCTTGGATCAGTCGGTCATCCCACACGTTAGGTATACAGACATCTTCTACCTGTTTTTGCTACCACCTAGGGGACGAGATAAGTTATATGTAGGTCGCACTTGATTTTTCAAAAAGAGGCTGTCGAATTACTTCTCATAAGGGTGTCCGTACGATGCGGAATCATCAATTGAACACCTCGCTTTTGGCAAGGTATCATGCGTTACTTATTAATGCTGATATCGTTTTCTAGGCATTATAGAAACTTGATTATTGAACACTGGCTAGACATCTGCTTCTTATACACCATTTTAGCTAAACAAGCCCAATAATAGCATAGGTTTTTGTCCTGTATACCCTTAAAACAGTATCGTTCGAAACCTGCAACTTCAATAAACTTACATGGGCTTCCTATCTTGCGAACTGAGCTCGACATGCGTTGCCGTTGAAATACAGCGATGGCAGCCAGCAGCATTTAGAGAACACAATTAGAGCTTCACACACAGATCAATTCCCGTATGAAGCCAAATATATGGCGAGCGAAAGAGAGGGATAGAGATGTAATTTTTTCGAAAATAGAGATCTAAATTTTTCTTGACTAAAGGAGTGATTTATTTACTTTTGTTTTATTTGCTGTTTTATTCAATTGGAGGTTTGCAGTGGAAAAACAGTGAAGCGCCTTTCCCAAATCATTTGTTTTTATTATGATAACTTCTTTTGCTACCATTCAATGGTGTCGTAATAAAAGTTAGAGATTACGTTGTGTGAAGTTCTTAATAGCCGTCGCCATCAACCATTTATTCTATACAGGTGAGCACGATAGATTCTTATAGAACCTGTAACGTTTATCGTTTTGGATTATTTCAACATACGTATAGTCGTAAGCCCATGCAATTCGAGTTCGGTAAGGCCGTATTATACGTGAAAAATAGTTTCGTTGTGAACGGTAATTAACGGTGATTGGGAATAGAAGTACGGGACGGCGCGACCAGAATGAGAAATAGGCCCCACCTAGTTACCATAACCACGAACGGATGTTCAGCAATCGTCATTTTGACAGTTCGCGAAGCAAAGGTAGAGGGACTTGCGAAGGTTTGCCCTTATAAAGGGACAGAGGTAAAAACCACCAAAATGCAATGACTAGTTCCGCCTGGCATTGATTACAGTTTTATTGAGGCCACCATTTCAGTTCTTATGCTTAATGACAGCTCCCACAAATGTTCTGTCCGTGTTGGCTTTATCACAGTAGGACTGCCCGTTACCGATCAGTGCCAAACATAAACCCTACCCCAGTCAGTACCATTCATTAACTTTTATGGATAAAAACATTGTTAAAGATTCGTGCACTCAAACGTGGGACAGTCGCGCCGCGATTTATTACATGCTTGGCTAATCGGTGTGCCTTAATATTTAGAGCCCAAGGTTTTGAGAGGAAATTCAAAGTTCAAATTACAGATACATATTCTATATATATATATATATATATATATATATATATATATATATATATATATATATGTACATTAACGCGCATGGAAGCGTCAGAGGCAGCTTCTGTTTGATAGCATCACAAATAGAGTTCTATTTATTCCTTTAGAGCAATTAATAACCAGTCACTAAAGGCAATTTGACCACAAAACGACCCGTTGATCGGTAAAATACTGAACGTTACCGAAACGACGCTTAGAACCGTATTGATGGCTCCGAAATCAAGGGTTAGTTTTTATTTGTTTAGGCTAGTAGCGATCAGAAGGCCACAACATAGTGCTCAGAGCAGCTATTCATTATAGCATACCCTAATAGACAGTGCTATTGTTAGTGGGCGTGGAGGTAGGTTATGATTTATGCGGAATTCTCAGATAAATGCGACTCAACGGAAGACTTGCGAACGAAAGCTGACGGTTAGGCTACATAAATTCAATCGACGTAAATCTCAAAAACGAAGACGCCAGATCAGTGTCTGACATGAGACTCGATCAGGACAAGTTCTGTTTATCTGTATTTGGATGATGAGAGACTACAAGTATATTTAGAGATATGTGTCCGAACAACATAAACTCCGAATGCTTTCCTGATACTAGGCGTAGTACTCTGACCATAGTATTAAGCTGTCGAAAACAGGGCAAATTTTGTTATCTAAAAAAAACTTTCTTTACGCGCAGATTGTACGCAGGTGTGTATGTTACGTGCAGTGTACGTGCCTTTGACAAGCATCGAGGCAGCTGTCCCCAGTCTCAACGTGTACAACGCAATGACGGCAGCTCGAAACTGAATGAGCAGCTAACGCGTAATTCGAAGCGTTATTATGAGAGCACGCCATCGAAATTATATTGAGTACAAGATATGATTTGCAAGATTACGGCTTAGCTAACCAAATCATTCTCCTACTAAAAAAAAGGTTAGTGGTGGTTCTGGCTATGGACCTCTGGGCTTCTGTCAATGAGTTTTCACGAATGAGATGGCATACCAGTAGACCTGGCGAACCAGAATCGCCGTGTAATACCAGCAAAATATATCACCCAGACGTGCTACATTAGTATCTACATTAGGATTTCATACATTTTTATCACGTTATGGCCGGAACCGCTAAATACAAATTTCACGATATATCGTGCACCTGTTTGAATCTAATTAGGAGATGTTAATAACAACACGGCAGCTACCTGATAGCAAAAATTATTTTGTTATGAATAGTGTCAAAACGCGGGCACTATCCACTACAGATCCACTGGTAGAATTGTCACAATTATCTCTAATTTTTTTGACGAGAATAGTCTTGAAAAATCACCCTCTCGAGTTCCACGAATCCGTACAGACGTTTGCCCTTCCGCCCTCTAGCGTAGTCTGACGTGATATCGCGTTACAACCAAGACGATTCAGCCCCCATCGTCGAAGCACCAAAGCACCACTTGCTGCCGCCATTGCTGCCTGCAGTCACGTCAGAAATAATTCTCATTAGGCTGTTTCATAGCTTTTACTCGAGATATTCGATTTCCACTGACCAGGCCTGCTCGGAAAACGCTGCCTCTGAACAGGCCAACTGAGTCTCAGTGATCACTGGTCTGCGATTCATGATTTACGAACGCAAGGAAGCGGCCATAGGTTGACCGTCTCCTCCTCGTACAAAGTTCCTGCATGGCCGGTCCTTCGTAGTGTCGGTAGTGCGCAATTCGCGGTGGCCGCATGATCCTTGAAGGATGGTGTTATGCTCAGCAGGCCCGTAGCAGCAGAGAAGCTATTGCTTGACTGCCTCATATTTCATAGCATAGAGCATTTTCATTACGATGAAGAGATTATCTCATCACACGCGATTGGTATGGCTCGAACGCCTGCCGCATGAACCGAATTGTTCGTTGTTGCACAGCCATTAGTGCTCGTAGTAGGGGGTGCTCCCGCTGTTCTCGCTGCTTGTACTGCTGCTTCTCCGGAACGAAGGACCATCTGGCGATTCCACTGTAAACGAACGTATAACGGCACTGGCACGTAATCGTCGCAGTAGCTTAGAAGGTTGACCGAGAAGAAGGAGAATGTCGTTGAGTGGTGGTAATAATAATATGTTATGTATTAGGTAATATTACATATATAAGTAATAGTAGGTAATAAGGTATATAGAAATTCGTACACTCATGGACTCAAAAGATGGCTCTCGGCCAGCTGCAAGGTGCATATATACCTACACATACAGGAACACGCACAGTCAACCCCAACGGGGCCCAAGGATTTTTTCGGGTCGTCGATGGCCTTCCAGTCGGAGCACCTCTGTTAAACGACACCGGCTCGAGGTTAGGTAGCATAAATGGCGCCATTCGAACCGCGAGCGTAAAAATAATCACTCGATAGACGACGAAGATGTCACTGGACTAGTCGTGGGACAGTTTTAATCTTGAACAAAGCCGCAAATACGTACCTTCTTATTCAACACAGCTGAGAATATAGCTCGTATTTACAATAAGATTATTAAATATCTTACTTTACTCACATAGGTTAGTACGTCACTAGATTATTAACGTGCAGTCGTACACGATCACTTAAAAAAGGCCGGGCGCATACATAAAACGTCTCGAAATGTTCTTTCCATTAGTGAAAGCAGCGCACTTTTACGGATTTTATGTATATATGTACGTATATCTACAGTTAGAGTTTGTATGTCGAAGCATTAGTGGCCTATTAAACGTAAAAAGGCCCCATCGTGTTGATCGTCAATAATGGTATTCGAACGGCAGCTGGCGGGTGCAGTTCTTTGTTTTTAAAATTTTCCAATTTTACGCTTGGTAATGGATACGCATAACGATGTCTGCTATACAACGCACTTGCTAACAAACCCATTATCATCTCAAAATATCAGAATCCTACCATATCGTATCGTTTAGTTGCACTATTTGTGCATTTAGGTTAGGTTGACCACCTGAGAACTGGTTGATACAAGCTGATGATGAAGTGTTTACTATCGGTTTGGCCAGAGTGTCGTCAGACTATTTCCTAAATTTATGTAGCCGGTGAACTTCGTTCGTCACAGGCTCTCGTTGCGTCTGCTTGGCCGTGTAGTTTAATCGAGAATCTTGCCAAACTTCAACAACCCCATGATATTTAGTGGTGTCCCCATTTCGCCTAAAAGCAATCAATTGATCATATAGGCACTATGCTTGCTCTTTCCGTTACTAGACGCTCTGTGGGTTTATAGAAAAAGTTTAAAAGACGAATACTTTCTCTATGCCAAGTATACGTTCGACGAGGACTGCGAGTTAACTCGAGATCCGGTACATACCTCAGATGTCACATCAGAGCATCGGATTAATTTTCCTACTTTTATATTGCATTGTTATTGGTGCGTATTAAACAGTTTCGTTTTGTACAGTCTACACTGATTTTTCGCTATTGTTTTTGGCCACTTGTTGATAGCACTTTGTTTCTAATAGAAATTCCTGGAAATAAATTTAACTTGGTCACAGAAAACTTCGTTTTTGCCAAGATAGTACAAGAACCTCGTCGTATCGCATTTTCACGACAACGGTTTTACGTATAACCTATTCAAATTGGCCCGCCATTAGTGAGAAAACACACATAGTTCCAATGACGTCGACGGTTTTAACGTTGCCGATGGGCAATGACCTATTGAGCATTGTTCCGTGCGACAATTTGAGATTGTATTTTTCACTTTTCGTTACTCAACGGAAATAATGACTTAATAACAACAACTTAAAAAAATAAGTTGTTATTTGTAATAATTGAATGCCATGTACGCCAAGTTGTGTACTAGTCACTAGGCCTTCATTAAACTGGCCAAGCAACAATTTATAATGAGAAAATGGTTAACGTGTAAGTTTATTAACCATGTAACTCGCCCAGCTGTGTAAGAAGCTAGGCAATCGATGTCTGTATCTATAACATAGCACAAAAAAAAAAAAAATATATATATATATATATATATATATAGTTTAGCTAACTTTGTTCACAATTGAATTCTCAGTATAACTTAATTAGGCTGTTCTCTTTTGAATACCAATATTGTTTCAAAACATAGTCGCGCGGCTGATTACCGAACCCAAAAAGTAGTAACTTATATTTGTCCTTGTTATCGTATCACTCATCCTTTCAGGTATGGCCACTCAGTTATTAGTAGCAGGGATCGAAACGAGAGAGGAGTATGCGAATGTTTCGTCAGCGATAGCAAAGGGAACGTGCGCCAAGCAGGATCGTAATGTAAACCATACAATCATAAATGATACGAGTCGTAAACGAGATGGTCCGTTCAGGTCGAAGAGTTCAACCTTAATAACGTTATCAAATCTCGAGTTCTGGAGTAAGTATGAGTTTAACGTTAGCGACAGATTTAAACCACGTGGGCCTGAACTACAGAGTGTAGTTATCTACACTGGGCTCAGAAGTACGTATATAATGTTTTTATCAATAGGCTTGTTGACTATTCAGATTCTAAAAACCAGCCGAACTCTTTTTTGTAGATAGATAGATAGATAGATAGATAGATAGGACGCTCCATGAAGCAATGCTGGCGAACCACAAAAAAATAGGAACCATACATTTTAAGAGTACAACACTTTTTGGTTAGTACTTATATCGGCTAGTTACCTATATCTTAATCAAACACAATGATCAACGTATGACCCCCCCCCCACCTCAGACTTGTAGTAATAGTAGCCTAATATGGAATGTTCTGTTGGTTGTGCGGGGATCTATATCTAAGACTTTCATCCAATCGAAGCCGTTCAACTGAGTCCGTCGTACCTTTCGACAAACGTAACGATCTTCTATAAATCGGCGTCAGTTAAATCTGACATGCTTAATCTGACGATCTGCCGGAATTATAACGAAAGTTGCCCGATTAAACCGCTGGATGCGGCACGACATAAAGCGGTATTGTTGACAAATCAATAAGCATGGGAAATGATCTATTTTGAATTCGCTGACACTTACATGCTTCTTAAGTTCGAAATTAATGTATTAAACCTGTCCTACTAATCGACCGCTGGGTATATCGGTAACGTAGATGGATGCGCTTTGGTTTACCAGCAAAAAAATCGAAGATACGATAATCCTAATCTTTTCTAGAACGGTTGAAAATACGCTTTTGATTCTAAATCTAAACCCTATTTGGATATATCGAATCAATTAGAGGCACACTCCCCTGTGCGATATTGCAGATTGCAGAGCTCCGAGGACCGAGTCATGCATCCAAGTATAGCCTGATCATTATCGCTCGGACTCGTTTCAATGTCAGCAGCTACGTCGCACTACCGGCCGCCATTAGTTTCTCTACATTGCCATATGGTTAGGGGCATTTATTATTAACTGTAACTTAGTACGTCGTCAAACGTGGATATGCACGTAAAAGGAACGTATATTTTCCATATATAATTTCACTTTCATACAGCTTGTGAGTATAGATATACTTTTACTGTCGACACTACGCAGGTCAATAAGCCTTGTTTGGGATAAAAATTTCGATTTATGTTGACAGCATAATATCTGCATGAACGTTGGCGTTCATAGCTATCCGCGAGAGACCCAAATGGTATTTTGGAACAATCTGTTTCTTGTCGATAGGAACTATCTGCCTGATAATCCGATGCGTTTCAGATGACACATGTATCTATTTTCTATAGCCTCGTAAAGACATTTTAAAATCGGTAGGACTACAACTATACTACTGCTTGCCTTAAGGATGATATCGGTATGCGGACGTACCTATCGTCGCATTGATTTTCAATAGAGCAGCTAATATCCAATCACTTTTACCATGCACATCGTCGACCTAGCTGTTCTGTACAAGATTTTAGAAGACTAACACGCACGTAGCACTCGACCAGCCAGCATCTGGCGTCCTGCTAGAGCTACTTAACTGGAAAAACGAACCCTAGATTGCATTGCTGCCCAAGATGCCTCGTAACAACCGAGTACTACGTACTGCTTACTTTCTGTAGAAATATACAGAAATCGTAGTATTTCGTTACTATTTTCGGACTGATTAACACAGGAATTTCAGGAAGCTATAAACGACGAGTTCTGTGAACGAGAAGCAGCTCCAACGTATTCATTCCTGAATTGTATACATGGATAGGGGTTGCTTAGGTACAGCGTACTTGGCTCAAAGATCTACCGAAAGTGAATCAATTTTGATTCGGTATCGTTTTAATACAGATTTCCCTGTGGCCGGCGACTTTACCAATGTCTTGTCCGCGTCCAACACTGAGCTCAACCTTACAAACGTCACCGTATCTTGGCGTGTAAGATTCATCTACTTTTTTTTTTTTTTTTTTTTTTTTATTACATCAACTTACTATTTTACAAATTGATTTCACGCTATGCTTAGACGAAATATATTAGGTAATCGTGGCAAACACGATGATTCGCTAAAAACGGTGGGCAAAATTAGATAGCATAAGAGTCTGTTATTGGCTTCTAACTAATCATGGTCAGAATCAAAGCCAACTGTTGTACCGTGTGTATATCTGACTCAACCGATCTGATTCCTAATGGTGGCGAGAGTATCCTTATGCAGAGTTGTCAAGGGTAATCGTTTACTAAGTACGAAGTGTTCTATGTAAAAGCGTATGTTTCTGCGAGAATAAGTTAACGATAGACTCAACTGAACGCTGTGTATCACATTTTATTTTCAATTCTGAGATATTTTTGGAGTGACCGTTTAAGATTGATAAGTATCTCTTATCTCATTTCCTCGCGATATTTCAGATGAGCGATAGAGATTTCGTCGAAGCAACACCGCTGGCTTTCTTCATTGTCACATTGGAAATTCCAGGAGGAAAACGTTACGTTTTATGCGTTAACTCTACGTTCGTCACGTTAAATAATCTTCGAAGATTTGCATTTTTCTCGTTGGCAGTGACGCCCATGTTCGAGGTGGACGGCGCCATTTACAGCGGACTTTCCAGTCGATACAATTTCACTACTGAAGCCCGTAGGTTTTTCTGTCTGTTACAGCAGCGTAATGTTGATGAGACACGCCGTTTTAATGCGATAATTTTCAAATATGTCTCAACAATCCACAAACCGAAATTTTTTTTTTCGATCTCGGAGCGTACATAAGTTAGATATACGATGCTTGCTACTTAGCGTCTGATTGACATGTTTTGATTAACATGTTAACTAAATACCATACGTAAGATGTGCTACTTGGCACTACGCTTAATGGAATCGGCACCCAGTTCATGTCAAATTAAACGCAGCTCTACAGGATTCCTATTAGCATCGACCTATAAAACAAGCGAGCTGAAACCTTGCCAATCTTTGGCAATATACCGCTGTCCTTATAGGCCGTTTGCGCCTTTTAGGGACCAACCATAGCAGCGTTAAGAAATCTTGCCCTTCTTGTCTTGAAAAATTGTCTTCTAATCGCCAAATGATGCATCTTACTGTGGTACTCGAACTCGGATATTGGCTTTTCAACGCATATGGCTCTACTCAAATCCGGTGAGCCCCTGTAAAGTCATAAGCCGATCTTTCAGCACGTCACGAAGATTCGGAAGGGTCAACAATCAAAATATATAACTCTAACTATTTAAAACCAAAATCTTGTTTTGGCCATTCTGAAAAGTGGAGGGTTTCCGTGGATAGAACTATGTAATAATAATTATTATAATATTTAAGAGTAAACACTGAGACGGAGTACTTTAAAACGTGGCTTTACGAGATCTATCTATCTATCTAAATTTTTTGCATTATATACAAACACGTCTGCTCGATCTAGTCACTCGTGACGAGGAGGTAACGCAACGTCGCTTTCATTCTTAAGAGCGTCAAAATGTAGAGAAAACAATTCTTAACGCTAATATCCCGTAGAAGCGAGAGTCCTAGAAGGACTCTCGCTTTGCTTGCTATTTTTAAATATAATTTAAGGATAAATAGTATTAATTTTGTAAGTCAAAGTGAATTTTTTATGAGTAGAACTGTTTAGTTGAATACGGTTTGCTCAGATTCTCCCAAGCGACGTCCACGGAGCATTCGGAGTACTGCAATACCGCCTGCAGTCCCCAAAGACATGCCATCGGTTCAGGACCGTAAGTACTGACGCAGCTCCCTCAACCGTACGTAGTTGCTCTTGTGCAATGAATAACAAAGTTCTTTTGCCTCACGATTCATTGTTATCTAACAGTAAGTTTCGTTAATCAGAAAACTTCTCATTACATTCGACACGGAAATGTTTTTCAGTCCGACTTGCATTTTAGCTATCTCTAGCGTCCGCTTCCTTTTTCATTGACTACAAATGAAATCTACTATGCCATTGTGCTAAGCACAATGAATCTAGAGGGCGGGAAATTTATTCGAAATAAATGCTTCCTCTCTCTACCTTATAACGCCACGATTTTAGCCGAATTTCGAAAAAAAATATCTGCTTAGCGCGTTCGTGGCGTATGATAACTCTAATGGCATTCATAGGAGCCTAAAGTTGACAGTTCATTGTATTTATTTGTGTCATGACTTCTTTTTCAGAATATCCAACTGTACAGAATCTTCAGGTTCGCATACAGGTTCTCACAAAAAAGTCTATTCAGTACAATGTGACGTGGACTGCCCCGTATCTTGACCACCCTGCAAAACAGTATTACACGATCACGTGGTGCAATTCATCAAATTATTGTAGAAATAATCTTACGCACCACACAAATTATACGATAGCTTTGCACTACGGAGCTGGTAGCTATACGGTGACCGTGGGAGTCGAATACTTCACGGAGAATGAAGGGTCTTTCGCTCGAAATGTCACATTTCAAATCACGACACCGCCAAGGGGTAATGTAATTAACGGCACGTACGATAACATCTATGTTAGTTGTCTGTCTTATCGAAGTCGGGTATTGCAAGCTCACGACATCGTAGAGTTCAGGTATAGAACGTCTGCGTGAATATTTCTGATCGACAGTATTCTAAAAGGACTCTAGTAACAGTAAACCCTTGGTAGCTGGTTTTTTTTTTTTAGTTGTAGTTGTCATGTGTCAGATCAGAATAACAAAGGGTATGCCATTTACAGCATAGCACTAAGTGTAAAAGTATATGTACGTATGTACATGTATACATAGCCAGGCTTGATTTTATTAGTCTATGAAATACTATGTATGTGTTTGTGTATTGGAACAATATATATATATATATATATTTTTTTTTTCTTTTTAATAAACTCTACGTATACAATGGATATCTGTGCCAGTATTATGTAGTTTTTTGGATACGATTAAAGTTTTTGGATAAGGTTTGATTGAACAAAAACACAACGCAAAGTTATAGATACGGTCAGCACGACTTTGGTAACTACGCTTCACAGATTTTCCATTTAATATCCTTGGTCGAAGGTCTATGTTTGATTTAGACGCTTTTCATGTGTTTGCTCCACCAAAGGACCTCTCTCTCCTTAATAAGCAAAAAATAAGTTAGAGGATTTTCAAGTTGAAGGACTTATGCCGATTACCTATCTGTACACGGGCCAACTTAAAAAGTTGGAAACAACATGGGTTGCTATGTGGCGAAAACGCAATAACGTTATAACGTAGTAATAACTAAGAAGTACGAGGTATACCAACGTGTTAGTATAAATCATCACCCTACAAGTTTCAACTTTCACTACACTTACAAGTTTGGCCTTTTTACAGTGCCTCCCTTCGTATCAGATATCAAGTTTGCCCTCGTCGGCTTCTCGCGTACGCGCTTTATTTACAAAATGTCCTGGATGGCTCCTATGCCTCGCAGTACTGAGTTTCCTCAGCTTGCTTACTTCAGCATCCAGATTTGTGAAGTATCGGCAAACTGTTTCGATTATTCTACCCTTGAACGTTTTGTTATTATTCCATTGTTAATCAACAAATCCTACAAAATCAATTTTCGTACGATCTACGAGTTGCTGCCAGGCCAGACGGTCACCGCAAATTATGCAAAGCGCGTCAAGACTTCTGGTAATTTTCTATTAAAAAAAAATTCATTCATTCATTCATTCTCCGATTCAGATATAGGGGCTAAAAAATCTCGGATCTTAAACGTCGCTAGCCTTTTTCTTGCTAAAAAGCTTCTATTGCAACAACCAAATGTGGTCGCAAAATATTTAAACGTTGACAATATTGAGTAATAATAATAATAATCATTACCTACAGGAACAAGAGGTCCCAACGAAGAGAGTACGTAAACAACTTTTAGTCCTTTTTCTCACATGTAATAAACACAAGAAAATTGCCATGAGTAAATTTCATTAATAGAAATATATATCCACTGATACCATCTGTCATCCAGCGTGTTAAAGCCGTCATGAAATTTCTTTAGGCAGAGGTACATACAGGTTAATGTTTCCTGCTCAACAACCCAAAGAACAATTGCGGGCCCGTTTTTTTTTATAAATGCTACTTATTTTACAGGTTTTCCCACCCCGTCGGATGTTATGTTGCATGTTGTCGATTTCAACAGCGATACCATCGCTTACCAAGTAACGTGGGCATTACAGCCCTATAAAAAAGTGAAGCCCCATGATACCCGAATTACTATTTGTAAAGTGTCTCTTTGCGAGTCCTTCAAAAGTAACCTGACTTCGTATGCACTGTCTGTCGGTTACCAAGAAGATGTCTTGGTTACAATTGAGACTGATTATGTCCTGCCGGATGGGCAAGTTATTTCTCGAAATAAAACCCATCGTATTAAAGCACCGCCCTCTGGTGAGTATGCTAGAATGTAATAACAACATAATTATATAACCATTAGTTATGTTAGTTAATCAACACAATAAGATAAACTAGTAATTTTTTTCGCATTTCTGCAACATTGCAGTCTAGCTCAACAAGTTTAGGACTAAATCTCGCATACCGGAAATCACTTCTTTGTAAGCAGGCAAAATGGTCCTAAGTCCGATTCTATACCAAATATGTATCGCAAGCTACTTCTATATCTAATATAGCTATCGTCTTGAGATCACCGCGGTATCGATGACTACGATTTATGAAACATCTTTATCGCCTTTATTTACAATAGTTTTACCTCTACTAAATGAGTTCATATTCCTATTAACTCGTGCTAGCTGCGATCTAAACCAGAACAGAAGATTTGTTTCCTGCTACGATGGAAGCAATTTTGCAGTTATAGGTTTGTAAGCGATCTTTCCCCACACTGACCTTCTCATAAACGGTTTCATAACAGAAAACAATTTGAGACGCTGTGAGGTCTTTCACCCTAAGAAGCTTAAAAAAGTGGAAACGCCATAGAAGTTTTTGTCTTTGCCCAAATGGGATCTATTTAGCCTCGATTATATCCCAAAACTCTCCTATTGGATAGGCTCAATTCAACGAAATAGTGGCTTATCGGCATATCCGGAGAATCGGATACGTTGTCCTTTGTGCACACTCTACTTCTTTCGAATTCATTAGGGGCCTTTATAGATTTGTGTCGCTATATCGGAATACAGCTTGAACCTTTCGGAAGTTGCATTATTCCTGGCTTTCTCGTATACTATAGATATCTGGAAACTAAAGAAGCTTAATAACTTGTGTTCAGGATTTCAATATGAGAACTGAAAGAAATGTTTCGAGTTCTACTGCCGCTAGGTACGGCTCTAGACAGCCGGCTCCCAGCGCGAAGCGAAGTGTGCCTACACCCAGTTTCCAACCTAAATCACCGCGTGTGTCCTTAAATTTAGTAAACAAACACTTTACGACTGTACTACTACTATGGGGAACCAATATTAAGGCTGTCGGGACTCAGCGTACCCTATGTTCCGAATACTGTAAATTCAGACATTCAGAGACCTAGCTGTTCTCGCACTAACTATTGCTGTGTCACGCAAAGGAGCTTCGCGTGTACAGAATGCCCCCAAAAATGTGTATACCTTTTCAGTGGCGGTAGTTTTGGTTTTTAGTTCCGCATAATGAGTACTTAAATTGCCAAAAAAATGTATGATATTTTCTCCTAATGCGCATGTTCAGATTTATTACCGTTCTAGTCGATACAACGCTAACAACGAACGGCTATAAATTCACACGTTTCAACGGACGTTTAATCCGGTAGCATAGCGTATTTCTACTACGCTATGCTAAATTTTCCGCCGTAGATTTTATTTCCAAGGTATCCCCATAAGAAAAGGTCTATTAACGTCAGGTCTGGGAAATCCGCTCGTATTTTACGAGACTTCTCCCTTTAGCCAATCTATTTAGAAGGATCTCATCAACGTATGCTTTTAAGTCATAACGGTGGTACTTCGTTCTGTTGAAGTTCCCCCAAATATGTATTATAACGAAATCTTGTAGTATATTCAAGCGATTGGCATGAGAAATATTGCCAGGAGAAATGACGCAAGTAATTTGCTTGAAGTGCCTCATCACACTGTAGATCCTGCAAAACTACCCAAGCTGTTCACGTTTCTACAGGTATTATAGGTAAAATTGCCAGTGTGGATATTATTGCATTGAGGGCATGTACCATCCCTAAAGCGGTACTTTCCATCTACAGCGTTGTAAAATACGATGAGCAAATAATTTGCTGATGTCAAGCTCAAGACTTAATTGCCTATTTGAGATATTTACCGATACCTTTATAGTAGTCTTTCTTCGCTAATGAAGCTTCTCGATGTTCTTGTCCTCGACAACACGTTCTGCGATACTGTCTTTAGACTTTTGCTGTATTGTCATACTTCCAGCGGACGTTTAGGACAAGTGGCCTTTGTTTGAATGTTAACCCTGAGAGTTTTTTTTTTTTATCTTTACACTGTGAGAAAAGTATAATCAAAGAGTTATAATCCACTAAAAAGCGTGTATATTTTCTTAGCAGCTCTATATGTTTTGAATATGGGTATTGCATTATATCGTTTCCTATACGCATAGCTTGATAAAGCAGGGTCGCTTTGGAGAGCTCGTGCTTCTTTAGAGGGATGAGCCGTTAGCGAGTTATCCATTTTGATAACTGACAAAAAAACCGTTTATGGCTCTTTCAAGTTCATTAAAGGCTTTCTTGTTCTACTTATTCGTACCTAACATATTATTTAACCCCACGCAGTGGCGCAGATTCATTGCCTCAGATACGGGTGTATGTTACGAAGCAGGCATCGTATAGCAGACCCACGCTGCTCTGTCTATATACAACGGTTTCATTATGACCCTCTAACAACGCTGCGCTCAATCAATGGGGGCGGGGTGTAAATTCTGTTATACATTAACATATCAAAAACATTTCAAGGTTACCTGATAATATTAGATGGCTTATGAGGTCCGTATAATGAAAGGAGGCCATTTTGAACGACACGTACTGTTTGTGACATTTAAATGCGCAGACCTGACAATTCATCACACGTGTTCCCTACCTATGACGTACGGCATTTCTATTATTATTATTATTATTATTATTTGTTCATTATTTTGTGGCTGTACTGAATCCAATAGTAACATCTTCCTATATAATTCTTAACAAATGTTATTTCTGCAGAGCCTTTCGCCGTATGGGGAATTAAGTCTGCCATCACTGCCACCGGGGCAGATTCAGCCGTATATACTTTTAATTGGAAGGGGTATAAGCCTCGATCCTCAAAATTCCCTCAGCTGGCCTACTTTGCTCTTCGAGCTTGCAAAAACGCCAACGTTTCATGCTGGTATTATAGCACTCTTGAAACATTTTACAGCTTACCATTGAAATTCAAGGAAAAATATGAAGTTGCAGTGAGTGCCGTCTACGAACTTCTGCCACATCAGCTAACGAACAAGACCGTCATGTTGAAGATCACCGTGCCTGGTAAATAATTTATGCCTGAGCTTAATTCGAATCTTCAAAATCATATATAGGTACATAGGCTTGCCGTATCATTGTTTTGTTTTATTAAAAACTGGCCGGCAATTTTTAAATAAACGCAGACGGAGCCGAATTGCTATTCACTTTTAGAATAAGCAATGGCGTCCTATTTTTTTTTACAGATAGGCGGGGGTCCTATTTCCTATTACGGATTTACGTCGCATTCTACCACATACACTCACTGCCAGCTTCTCATGTTATTATTCTGTCATTATAGTAGAATAGTTACTTTAATTAATGAATTTCTTCTAACATTAATCAATTTCTTCTAGAACAAAGCGAGCTCTCATCCCATATTGGACAAGTTAAAAAAGGCAAGTATTACAAGAATATAATAGGGCAGTGCGTAACCCACTACTCGTAGATGCGAGAGAACAAATTAAAGCAAATTAACAGGGTATTAAAACAATCATGGCACATTTTCGAGTAAAGACATCAGTGATGACATGACCAAATAATGTCTATGCGTTGACAATGTAAACTTTTAAGCGGATGGCAATAGAAAATATCTAGAAAAAATTGAAGGGTTGATGCCAAAAGCAATTTCAAAGCTAAAAGCCTATCGAGATTATTATTTTATGCCGAAAATATAATTTTAAATGAATAGGTTTCTTAAAAACAGCCAATTAGTGCAGTATGCAAACCCAACGAGAACCAGATTAGGTGAAAGAAAGGTTTACGGTTGGTACTGTCATTAAGGGTTGTTTCAGGCAACTGCCATCTTCCAGTGCGGATAAAAGTGTGTCCAGATAACCTAGGCCACTTTATCTCTCTTCCTAATTGTGTAGGCCAATGTTATGACTGACTATACAGACTACCTACAAAGAAACACTCGTTAATGAGTAGAACGCGTTCGAAGTAACAAAGTGGTATAGCGAAGGTATAAGCCAATCATATAGGACGTGACTTAATTCAATAGATTGTACCTCCCCGTTCTCAATATCGTTTCATCTACTTGTTTCAGGGTATATCTCCTTACCACTCTGGGTGGCTATTTTTATACCACTTATCATGCTCACGTTCGCCGTCGCAGTCACTGTGCACCAGCTCTATATCCACTGTCACGATGACAGCGATCGGATAATACGTCCCGAAACGGTTTCGATGACCCCCTCAGATGAAAATCTCACCGAATCGCAAGAGAATACATACCAACGAAAGCAAACGAAAAAAACAAAACAAAGTGCAATCAAATCCAGAAGTGAACCCCCCGAAAGGACTCGATGAGCATACCACTCGACAAAGATTAGTAAGGTGCTTGAAGGCAGAAGAGGAAAAGGACGAAGGCATTACGTCTCTGATGTTGATTATGCTGCAATGCGGGCAGATCGTTCGAGCAAATAGATCTGCAATGTCTGATATCGTTGATGTAGAATGTGCCGTATGAAGTTAGTCTTGGATTTTTCTGCTAAAGATCATTTTGTTCAGGCGCAGTGGACGTCCACTGTGTAATCCTATGGATGCGCAGCTTTCTTTTGTTCCATTCAATAATAAATTGTAGACTTACCTCTTGTGTTTGCTATTGATTTGCTGATCAAACTTGCAATAAGAATTTTCAAGCAACGGAAAAAGTTTCAGTCTGTATATGGTAAAGGCTGTTGAATATGATATTATAATTATAGTATCAAAGTAGTAAGTATATATTATAATTTTCTTCACCATTTTTTACCAACTGGAAGCACCAACTGAAAGCATTTTTACTTATCATCTTCTATTGGCTTAAAATAAAGGCAATTTTTTTTTAAAAAATCTAAGTATCATACATAGCATACAATTAAAACCATTTAACTATATTAATTCGACCACGATGGCCAATATTTACGTATCGTTTTTGACAGTTCCTCGCGTAGGGCTCATTTACGAACAGTCTCCTCATTACTGTCTTTCGTTTAGGACAACGAAAATATCTTCATCTGACTTAACTCTTTTGAAATTTCCTATCGGATAATCCTCAGCAGACTTTCCTTGTGATAATAACTTCCCGTAGAACTCCAACGTAACTTATCGGCTGTAGCCATCTTTTTCTAATTAATTAGATATTTTTCTACTACACATTACGAATCTAGACTTTATTGAATGAAAGTTGATATATGTCTTGTGGTGCAAGTTTCTCACGATTGGTATACTTTTTTAAAGGAACCGACACCTGGCGGCAAGTTTTTGTCTCAGTTTAACAGCATCGAATGCCCTTCTAGGTGTTTTGTTTTACTATCGATGTTTGTTTCTCGATATTTTTCCCGTCCAAAAAAAAATTTACAAGGCAACCCTGACAAGATTTTACAGCGTACATGATGGGTTCTCTCGTAATCTACAGGGAGATTTCGTGAGGACGTATGAACGCCCTGAGCCAACTGTGAATTTCTCTGTCTACCCCCATACGGATATTTCGATATACTTTACATAGCTGCAATCAGCTTAAGAGCTGCCCTATCCAAAGTAACATTTATGTTTCCTTGACAAAAAATGAAATTAAAGCAAACGAAGTATATGATAAGATATTGAACATCTGACGTCTTGAGACTATTTATAATGAACAAAAACAGTTCCTAAAAACTGAGATAAATAAGTAACGCAATTCTGTGTATTACATGTTACACAGTCAAAAACTTTTGATTTTTTCTCCACTTTAAAAAGTACTAATTCTGTTTTATAGAGGGAAGTATCGATAAGGATTTGCCAATTTGAACAATCAGTAGAAGTAAAATAATTCTTCTACTTATTTAACATAAGTAGAAGGATCGGATTTAAGTTTTTAATAAACTTAAATCCGATTTCATAGTTGACCGTGATAAATGAACATTGTTACAGCTTTACTATCATAGGACGCAGTTAAATTTCCTTGCTCAGTTTTACCCTGTTCATCACCCTCGACTCATCGCAAGTAGCAAATGCTGCTGACAGCCAGACAAAACAAGATCCAAGCCCCCTACCATAATGTATACGAGCTATTGTACAAAGGAGCGACGCCTTTCAATGAAAAGAAATAATTAAAAGATTAAAAGCATCGAAAGTCTTATCGCGCAACCATATACAAAGCATCAGTGGACCGAGCTAAAATAGAAGAAGCAGTTAAAGGAAATGACGTCGGCAAAACGATCGCTTCCTTATTTCGTAATAGAATGACCTTTCCCATCTGCTGTGAACAGATAATTCGGCGCTTCCCCAGCGAAAAGATAGCTTTTGGAGAACACTGCTGGAGATTGAAGCGACTACCCAGCTAGTGAGAGTCGTCCCTTCGAGGGAACAGTGCCTTCAGAATACGAGCTTACTGTGCTCAGGCCAGCAATTCGCGGTTCGGTACTCAGGCTGCGAAGGGAACGGCATATGCGGGGCCGTTATCCGTTTTCTGGATAAAACCGCACACAAACGATGTTCGTCCCTCAGAAGCATGTCGAACAACATGGCGTTACGACCAATGGCTTATAGTTCTCATGCCTGGTGGTCGACAGCAATGCTGGAGCTGGCGAGTCACTAAACGGAGCCGATAAGGGAGTCGGAATAGAGGACGCCTTACTGAGAGTCCCGGAGCGCTGCAGTCTTGTTACTTCGGCTGGTCCAAAGGCACGTCATACCCTCAAAGTCCATCGCCAACGATGTATGGAGGGAATGCGTGCATACAACTTCATAGTGATTCGATATAATGACTAACCATGTCAAGCTACAACCGCGCCTTATTGCCCCGAAAGTACAGTATGTGGAACCCCGATTTCGCAGTGGGTCATGAGTAGCACGAAAAAAGTTGAAAAGATAAATCAGTTCAATGCTCAAATAGAAATAGAGGCTCATGTTATCGTGTGACCATAAGCAGCATGATGACCGTTGTATGTCCAACAACGTACATATAATTCAGCAATTGTGTTTAGATCTACGATGAGAGCGTTTTATAGAAAAAATCAATAGGCAATATTCCTAGTAGATCCCTTATTCAGTGCATATATCCTCCATACCTTCTTTCTCCATAGTCATTTTCACGAAAACATATATAACCCGATTAACGTTTCACTCAGACACTTGTTGAGATGCTGATTAAAGGCACTACGTGAAAGCAACCCAGTCGACGTGTGGGTACTTCTGGGCGATACGGAGGATCGCTGTTTGCTTGAGTACCAGTGTGGCGGTTAACAGGTTCGTACTGTGGATCATGGAACAGCCTTAGGGTCATGTTTTTGTATAATTAATAATCAAACAATTTACAGCCAGTTTATAAATCACCTTAACCTAATCTAACTGATTACATAGAGATCTACGTAATTTACGTAGAAAAAAAGAAGAAATTCGATTTTCTAGCGTTTTGTCTTATCGACAATTTGCGTCCTAGATTAAAACGAGGCTCGACTACGCTTGTTATAAGTTGTACACACATCGCATAAACATCATGAATCTCTTTATATGAGAGTCAAAGCTTAATAGTTTATATATACTTTTTTAAAAAAAATTTTATCTAAATTCGCCGATTGTGGCTTAATGCTACGTTCAGATATCTTTTTAAGAAATTCTATGCTATATTTCGTATACATGTTCTGTCAATGTGTTTGTGTTTTTCTGTTAAAAAAAAAGTTTTTTTACGGCTTTGCAATACAAACGAAGTTGTCCTTTTTTAAGTTTTTGCTTTTAGTTAGTTTATGAATACCAGCGAATGGAAGCCAATACAAGTCGATGTTTTCAGTGTTGACTCGAAACCCTTGTACTAACCCACAACACATTTTAGATGGGATATAATACTTCTCTTTATCAATAACCACCTCAGACCATGGCATATTTGATATCCAATTTAAATTGAATTTGATGGCAGTACGTTTGGTACTCAGGGCACGCGAGCCGTCGAGGCTGATTGCGAGGGCAGACGGATTTCAGTCGTGGCAAATACGACCGTGTAAAATGTATATTTATACAACAGACGATCTATATAATAGTTAGTTCTGACTCAATCTGACATATCGTTCGCCTAAGCTAGCCAAATACATTCGTCAGAAAAGAATGATAATATCACTGTGGACCAGATAACTTAGGACCTGTACCTTTATACGAAGTTGAAGAAACACGCTAATGCAAAGTAACCTTAAAATTCATTCGAATCTGTGTTAATCTCTATGCAGTATCAAAGCATTTAGACCAAATACATTTTCTAGCCCAGTTTAAACGATTTCGGTGTAATGCTGTTCAAATTATGGAAACAAAATATACAATGCCTTTACTTCATCGCTCTTCCATAAATTATTGGCCTTTACTACCAAGTGTGATCCCTATAATTTTGATTTATATTTAAGTTCTGCTTTGAAGGCCCGACGATTTCGCACGAAAGAAGCAACATGAATAAGCTCTGCCGAAAGCCGTATGTTCTACGCGATTTTCTTGATCTTTTCTGTCTCAGCATTTCAGGCATCGTTCCTGCGACCTGTCTGTCGATTAGCGAGGCTCGTATTTTAATTGTTCTTTACCTAGTTGCGGCTTTCATCGCACTATTACTGCAACGTCGCCAACTTCTTTCTCCGCTCAACTATGTGACGACTTTGTCTTCTGAAGTTTGTGCGAAAACTTTATACTGCTAGCAGTGACATGGGGTAAGGCGGCGAAAGGGGTCATGAGACAATAAGTCCGTCTTTCATTCGCACCATTCGCACGTGTCTTCATTTTTGTCAAAAAATCATCTTTCCATAGTCTTCACTTCTCTTTGGGGCAGCGAAGATGAAGAATTCTGTCAGCGCCAACCTTGAAAACTGCTTACGCTGCCATAGTATGCCCCCTCCCAGTTCAAAGGGAGATTTCAAAGTAATCGCTAAGTTTTGAGAGTAAGTTTCTTGAACGTCGCAGGCAGTCTGTGCTTTTGACTAATGGAGGTGAAAACGCGCGTAATTTGGGTCCTGTGAAAAGGTTCGCCTAGACTGCATCTAGGAAAGAAGGGACGACTGAGCGAGTTGACACTTGATTTGACACATCGGTAAAAACAAAAGCCTGTATTATTATGGTCCAGTGTAGAAAAGAGAAATCAATACGCTATTTCCTGATACGTAAATCTCAGCTAACGTGACACTATTAGAGTCAAGTAAATTCGCAGCCTTTGTACATAAATACATTTTTTTGTTATTACCGACTACTTATCGCTTCGCGCTGATGATGCGCAAGATGAAGTAAACACTTAATTAATTAATACTTTCAATTGCAATTTTTGGGGTAACGTACGTATTACAGGGTATATATACAAGATTATAACAGACGCAACTTCATATTAAAAGTTGTAAAATTTTAATAAACTTACATCTATTATAATCTATTTCCATACCATTTGTTTCAAAATTCTAATACGGTTCGTGTCTATCTCTAAACCGTAGAAAAACATAGTGATAGGATGAACTATACCCCGTCTGAAGTACTATGCCAAGTCAATAAGAGAGTTCAAAGGATTCGTGCGCGAAAAGGCCCGTAAAAGTATAATCAATTGATGATGTGTCCTGCGTCGAAGATAGAGGTTTAATTATATTTCAATTTTATTTGGATATATATTCAGTTTGTTTTTATATTCAGCTATCAGCAATGGAACCACTGTATATAAGCCTTCTTCATCGTCATGAGCTCCCTCCAGCCTTTCGGCTGACTCTATATTAGGCGATGTAATGACGCTTTAGCATAGATAAATGAGTGGACGCCTACCTATTCGATCAGCAAGAGCTAAGTACATATAGTTGTTCGTAGCCAGCTGCCACGTGTACTGCCATAGAGGCGAAATAATGGCAGACATTTTCCCAAGCCACCCCACAGCCATTCGAAATGGACTGGGGTGGGGTGGGCATAGAAATAGGCTTCCTTCTGGAGCCCGTGTGCCTCAGGATATAAAAACGCTGTTTATTTGCCATAGCTAACATATCCGTTTTTCGGACGGCTATGACTAGCGCTCAGGGAGACTACAGCGTACAGGGTCACGATCCTCAATCTTGATCACAGTCGTCACATTCATCCTTCGTTGCGTATGTCTGTGCCTATAACTCAAAAGAAAACCTCTTCCTATCGCTTACATTGTGCCATTGATGATACCATTTTTGCATCCTGTTACTCCATTAAGTTCGATCTACTGTTATTCGTTCTAGTTATCAGTGCGGTCTATTGTTATTTCAGCGTTGCCTTTATATGAAGAATTACAAACATTATTGAATCGGAGACCGATTTTTTGGCCTACTTTTGTCGATTATTTCCTCGCGTAGGTAACCATTGGCAGTAAAGTGATTCATCTGTTTATAGTATTACGTTGTATCCTATATTCGTAATATATTCCCACCGCAGACACGCTAAATTGCCGAAGCGTCTCGGACTGAGACCTCTGGTCTCTAACCAATCAACACTGCGGCAGTTCTGAATGTCGTTTCGAATGTTCGTGGCAATAGGCCTATGGTAGGCCTGTAAGAACTATCCGATTTAAATCTCGATCGATCCTGGCGTTGCACAAAGCCTGAATTATGTCCACTCGAACAAAGACTACTGAGCGTTGCGTAATTCATTATCAGAGTTCAATACATTTCTCCGAAATCTTGCCATACTCTCCTCGAATATTGCCTCTAGTCTGCCAAAGAAGCATCGAGGACGAGTCGGGAACATTTTAGCCACAAGCGTAAAAACAAACAGACGTTTCACCTATGAAACATACAGCTAAATCCATACCTCTAACTGAGCATTTGTATTTAGTATAAAGCTTTACCATCGGCGTATTTTGCATCAAACAAGAGAGGTTAATTCGGTAAAGGTAACAGCCTAGACACACATGACTCGGTTCGTTTCGTTAGATTGCCACAAAAAAATCCATGACAAAATATATTAGATGCATCATATTGCTCCAGTCATAGCGCTCGGCCGGTCTGGTTGTACAAATAGACACGCTTCGCATGTGAGCAAACGCCACGAGTAGCCATCCGATGATCAATTGCTGGCTCGCTTATAACAACGCCATATAAATCGCCGACACATGCATAGCATTTTGACGTCTTGCCGAGTTAGATGTCCGCAGACGGTCCAAATGCCGCCATCAGGCAATCCGTCGATGACGACAGCATTTGTTCTCGGTTTTGCCTCCACTCCGCTTGTAAACGGTAGACATGGCAAAATATACGGCAGTAGCAATATCCGCAATACCCTCTGAACCGGAGAAGCAACCTGCCGAGCGTTGGAAGAACGAGGGATCGGCTTTGAGGTGACTTTAAGCCAGCAGCATTCCGAGCTATGACCGTTTCGCAGGATGCCCATATATCGGACGAGGTGTGGGGCAAAGAGCCTCCCTCGACACAAAGAAAATCGCCTAAACGACAGCTGTAAGCAAACGGATGGACAAAAAAAATGTTGCAGATTTAACACCCCACGACGTACGGCCCATTGTCGTCTCATGCCCATTGTAGCATATCCCCCACCCCTGGCGGGCTTTATCGGTTTATCTTAACCGCGCCAATCTTAGCAAACATCATAACACACTGAATAAAGCCGTATGAAATCGTATGTTTTGTAGAGATCACCAACGATAAATAAGGGTAATGGCATAATTTTTCTGCTCATTTCTTATGACCGCATCGCTCTGTGTGCTAATATCGAGTTAGCTATTTCGATGGTATTTAGTAGTCCAGCGTGTACTAGCTCTGTGAATGAAAAGATTTGTCGAAATCAAGTTTATTGCCTATTGCCCCGAATACTAATGTTTAACTTATAGATAGATAAAGTACAAAGCAAAAAATATATTTGATTTCTGTTACTTTTTACGCCATATATTCCAGTAAATTTTAAAAACACAATCATCCTTCAAATAGTTACAGGGTAACTATTTGAAACGTTTTGTTTTTCATACGATTTGCAGCGCCGTAGAAATTTCACTGTAGTCAACTTTTCCTTAGTATACTATAGCAGTTTATTAAAAACCAGTATACGAATAAACGTAACTTACACATAATAATTAAACAAGATACCTGAAACACCAAACACTAGTTTTTATTCAAAATAAAACATGCGCCATGATGAAGACTATCACTGAAGGTTTGATATCAAAAGGCATACTAAGGCTCTACGCAAAGCTACGAAATGATGAGATTAGCCTGTCATAACGTGAATCAGGTGCAGTCAAGGCTTCCGTAAACGACGGGAAATAGTCATTGACTATAAGCATAGACACGGATAGGATCTGATTAAGGATCTAAAAAGTAAGGTGATCGGTAACTTATAGCGTGTCCAATGATGCTAATAATCGTTCATATCTTGAGAAAGATCGAACAAGCCCTGAAAGATCTCCGTACCTTTTTAATTTTTTTTATTGTAATCAATTATATATTAGGATTTTAATGGATTGACCATCTGCAGGCAAAACTGGCGCTACTAGCAAGCTGCCCGAAAGCATCCAGCATTTTATGGCTGCCCAAATAATGGCTCGACGAGCAGGGTGCAGGGCGGTCGATGTAGGCGAAGCAAAAGTGATTGCCGATGATTTCAAGACGTCGGAACACGGATAGAACTGTGTTTGCTCAGTGTTCCGAATCGTCAAACCTGTAGGTAATACACTGGTATATCTTAGTCAGTAACTAGGAAAAATGCCAAGAAATCCAGGTGCCGACAAAGAGCTGCATCGAACTTCGCGTCTCCTTGCAAACCCTAACAAGATCATTAGTGCTTAGAAGAAGGTCTACGGGATGGTTTTTTAACATCCATTGAATAGAAGACATCAAGCTATTACAAGCTGGCTAACCACAGAAGAAATGAGAGGCGAATTTAAATAGAGGACCTAAAAAGCGCTGGCATCGAATACGCGTTTTACACATGTGAACCACATATGATTGTATCTGCCCAAATCGCGATGGCCCTCAAGTCTCGATTATCATCGTAGCTTTAGTATAAACAGGCCCGACCATCGAAACTACCAAAATTAAAAAATGCGTTTTTTGTTATATTATTAATTAAGTCCTTTGGCCCTTATTTCATAAAATTTGCTCAAATAAACTAAATGTTATCACAATCACGCGTCGCTTTAGAGCTTTCAAAGCCACTGAACATCATATGCTTTCAAGAATCTTCATTATGCTTTATCTTTCTATTTCTCTGGCCCATGCAATAGTTCTTCTTACTAATGGAAGATCCGTGAAGAAATGTCACTGTCGTTGTTCGCCGCTTTCCCTCATTCCATGCAAAAACCCTTCCCTTATAATCGTGGCTGCTTGACATTAACAAAGCATAAATGTCATCTATAACCAAACAACAACAAAAACGGGCCAACATAGAGTACGTTGCGTCAATCCATTGTCCTAGACAGTTGATATATCACGTTTCAATTAAGAGGTAAATTTCTCGAATTTCGTAACCTCACCAAAACCATCCCTGCTTTATTTAGGTAACTACGCATAAGAAGGGCATGGCCACTATTTTTCCGTACTCCGAGTTCAACTCCAAGGAGGACGCCAAAGCACTCCGAAAAGCCATGAAAGGATTTGGCTGCGACGAGGCGGCAATCATGGCGATAATCTGTTCTCGTAGCAACAAACAACGCCAAGACCTTATTACGGCCTACAAACAAGTTCATGGGCGCGAGCTAATGAAAGATCTGAAAAGCGAATTGTCCGGAAACTTTGAAAATGTCATTCTGGGCTTAATGACCCCACTGTCAAAGTATCTCGCTCAGGAAATCAGGCGAGCTATTAAAGGCATCGGCACTGATGAGGGTGTATTGATCGAGATCATCTGCACGCGAACGAACGATGAAATTTCAAATATTAAAAAGGCATATTCACAGCTGTATAACAGGTCGATGGAACAGGACATTGTTGATGATCTCTCTGGTGATTTCAAGCATCTAATGATGGCCTTAATGACAGCTAGCCGACCAGAAGACAGGCAAGTGAATTTGGCTGAAGCGAAAAAGGAAGCCAAGGAACTTAAAACTGCCGGGGTGGATCGTTGGGGTACAGACGAAGGAGTGTTCATTACAGCGCTATGTAGCAACAGCCTTGAACAAACAAAAGCCATTTTTAAGGAATACAAAGCTCTCGCAGGTCACGACATTATGGACGCGATTGAGAAGGAGATGAGTAGCAGTTTGAAAACGGCATTTCTGACTATTGTGAAGTGCATGCATAACACCCCACTGTACTTCGCCGAGCGGCTGGAGAAAGCCATGCGTGGCCTAGGAACTGATAACAGAACTCTTATTCGTATTCTTGTGTCGCGCTGTGAGGTCGATCTCGCTGATATAATCAAAGAGTACCAGAGGATCTACGGGAAGTCACTCGTTAAAGCCGTCGAGGAAGAAACCTCAGGGGATTATAGAAAAGCACTTATGTATATCATAACTGGGGCGCCAAACATTTACGGCTAAGTATCATCCAGAATGGTTTACCGAATGATGCTGTTAAAAAAAATTCACTGGTTTTAGATGCAGAGTGTCCGCTTGTTCACAATATATACATGCAATTCAGTCAGCCTAAGTTCCAGATTTTGTTAATATGAAAGTTGTTTTTTAATCACAAAGCATCTGGCACCACGTCAAAACACCCGACCTGAAAAGTATTATTGAACATAGCTCTTACTACTTAAACATTGCATTTTATGTAACTAGGTGAGTTCTAGTTAATCATTATAGTAATTAGAGGTCTGGTTATCGATCGATATACTTTTGGACAATGTTATTATTTACCAATTATAGTTAGGAAAAGCATATTATAACCTACGATCTACTGGCCATTCGCTGACTCAACCTTCTTGTTTATCATTCGACGTCTGGGTGTGTCTTGGGGCCTGAGAAGTGTAGCTGTTTAGCGGAATCATTTCAATTCGATCGATTTTAGGATACTGGATTATGGATAATGTTATAATATGCAACAATAATGAAAAACGTAATTCAAAATACAAACGCCACGGTGTGTCGGAACTATGCCTTCCGTGACAAATTTTCATGCAGGACGTTGACATGTTTTTTTGCATTGCACCCTTTAGTTTAAAGATGACCAAAAAATATTAGCAGAAAATTAACTGTTCAAAACTGGAAAATAATTTATTAAGGAAAATTATAAACAATAGTAAAAGATATGAATACAGAAAAACGTACCTGTTTCTTTTTGAATTCAGAGTTTGTGTAACTGTATAAATTTCAATTCTATATCGTTCAAGATAACACGTTTAAGCCAATATATAGACAAGTAATTAGCTTTTTCAGAATATTCAGGGGGTTTTCAGATACCTGTACGCGACAACTAAAAAAACCGTTTGCTTTTTTAACAATGTAATCTTATATTCGATGTGTGTTTAATGCATTTTCCCTCCTTCTTCTTTGCTTTATTTTATTTCCTTAAAGCAGACATTCGTAAGTCTAGCATTTGTCGAAGGTAGAGCAAGACTGTCACGGTTAATATGACTTAATAAGTTTCTAACTTATCGAAAGAACCTACGTTCAGGTCTTTCAATACTTTTACCCCTATCTCCTAGCGGATTGAAGAGTGCAAATGTTAGAAAAAGTATTGCTTTAACCTATGCTCATACGGTTTCGGCTAGGCAGATGGAGATTTTGGGATTGAATGTTTTAAGAAACCAACAGCACAAAGTAGAACACTTTTGCACCATAAATGAAACTTTTCAAATATAAATGATGCCTAAAATCGGACGCTCAGGCCCTTAGCGATTGTAGTCTTAATGAACTCAATTTCGCAGTAAGAATGTAATTAAGCAATGAATTTCTATTGCCAAGATAAGGCATTCCGCACCGGTGCCCAAGCTCATTATATTCTTGAGGGGAACTCTGCATTTTTTGCCGGGTACAACTACCGTGACACTATCGTCCTGCATGCATTTTCATGCTCTTCGATGCATTTTAAGTAATTATCATGGATATGTTTACAATGAATTGTTTAATGAAGTCGTGACGACTTCAGTACGGAACGCGCCAAACGGAACCAGGCGTAAATCATAGATAATGTTTTTATTTTTTTTTAATGTTATATATATATATATAATTTAAAGAAATAAATAAAAAGTTTATTGCTCTTTTGAAAAAATAATTTCATCACAAAAAACTGCTGAAAAATTAAAGGAAATCGTGCTCCCAAGCTCATTTTGGTAGCCTCGTCCGATTAATGGTTACGCTAACCTAAGGGGTGCTTAGCCTGCATGAATTGACGTCTCGTTACGACACGAGTTATAATTATGGCCATTTATCAGAGTCTTTGTACCTAAGCGGCAGCACGATCGGAATATAAGAATGTCGTCCAGCGTCATAACCCACCTTTATCACTGATCGCTAAGCAATCTACCTAGACATCCAGAAACTCATACACGCCTACATTTCGTCTATATCTACCATCGACGAATGCTTTTGCCCTGCTGCCCTGTCTTCTCCTAGTGTGGTGAGGTACGCTACTTAGCACCCCTCGGTCGTCGCCGCGCAACTACATACATCAGTTCTCTCTGCATCGAACTGTAATCACGCGAGTAGAACACGGGCGAGAAATGAATGCTTTAGGCCAATCTCAACCTAGTGCCTCCTCCAATGCTGGTGACCGATTTTCGGCACCATGCCAATGCGAGATAAGCTCGTAGGGGGGAAACCTCTTCGAATTCTTCCTAGAGATTTACTCGAGGTGGGAAGTGTAAAAAACGGGGTCAGTCACCCGGATACAATTGACGACGACGAACAAGCGTCGTCCGCGAGGGTAGAACGAAAAATCGCGTAGAACGAGGTTTATTGGGGGTAGATGGGGCAATGGAAATGTAGTACCTTAACGCTGGGCTCGCTGTAAGTCGAAGGTCTTGTCCATCCGCTTATCCGAGAAATGATCTACTGTCTTGATCGGATGCTGCAGCAGCAGCAGCAGCTGACAGCGATTGCCCTGTTCGGCATAATTATAGACCATAGCAGCGGGAGGCGCAAAAATCAGAACAGCAGGGATTTAGAGCCTTTGTAGTTGTTTCCTAAATATGAAAGTGTAGTAGCATAGAAGATAGCAAGAGCTGACTGGGGAGGTGAGTCAATTCGACAGAGACAGAAAAATAGAGCAAATCAAGAGAGATAGACAGGAAGGGGATGAACGCGGACATCAAGCGAAAGCCAATCATGAGAAAGCAAAAAAATAACACCTAGGGGAACATGGAGATCAGTAGAAATGGCTGTCGGTGGTATCCGATCCTTCAACAGACTTTTCCATGATATTACAGTGTGAGTGTCTTGGGAACAAATGTTACTCTTCATTTGAGAAAATTGCAGTAAACATGAGAAAATAAAACTGCCGAGATAAGCATTTTCCAGAATCGAACGAATCTGTAAGTTGCAATTTCTTTTATATATATATATATATATATATATATATATATATATCCGATAGGCGTTTAATGATACGTTGACAGCTTTTTATCATATCGAACAAAGGTGCCTTTTCCATATATGTATTACTATGGGTTTAACTAGAGAAAAACGACGAATCCTATCCGCAGCGAACTATTGGACTTGAAGATCAAACCTAGCAAAAATGCACTTGAATGTTTGGAAGGCATACGTCCCGGAAGCGGAAATGCATTTTGCAATCAAGATTCTGTTTGACCAGTGCGTGACTTTTCTCTTCATGTCTGATTGCCCATTATACCCTCCCCATCGCTTTCTTAGTTGAAGTCATGGAGGCGGGGCAACCCGGTTACCGGGACCTAATACTAGCCCAGGGGAAGATCAATATCTTGTGGAAGCCTCAATGAGGATTACATTACAGCGAAACAAGCTTCACTAGCAGTTAACATCGCCAACATTGGCGAACGCAATGGTAAGAGCCCAACAGTTTATTTATCTACCTACGAGGCAGGAAACGTCAGGCAAAGGCCTTTTTGTCGGAGTTGTGTCATACCAGCTCTTCATAGAGGAAAGCGTGTGCTAACAACGGTACGCAGTTGACGAAACACACATGATAATAGACGCACTGTTGTTGCGCCGTTTGGTGGACGCGCACGTGAAGGCGATTGAGCATGAGAGCAAATTAGCTATAATATATAGTGTGCGACGAAGAAACAAACCGATGCGGGTATTAGCTAAAATGGTAAAATGTTGAAATAGTTAAAGGGCTATTCCGTATAAGTGAGGGAGAGCATCGCGGATCTGTTGTACGAACAAGTCTACTGTCACTAATACTATGAGAGGACATGTCGATACCTCTGAAGTCAATCGTACACATAGAAAGCCACTCCCTGCATGCGATATGCGATCCCCGGAAGTTTATGCCTTGAGTCCATGAAGAAGAATAACTAGAGATTCGTATACGATCATACATTGTAAATGAGTGCAAAACAATGGAATGGATAAATTTTCCGTTTTTACTAAACGATATGGTTCACGCATGATCGGGGCAGGCGCTTCCACGGAGCAGCATGATATGAGCAACGTTTCCACATTTAACTGACAGCCTGCGGGCTTCCCTGCTTCTCCCAAAAATATTGCCGTCATGGCGTAAATATTTGCTCGGAGTAGCTAATCTTGACTGTTTGGCTGCCAGCGACACATCGAAGATACAGACTGTGCATTAAGAACGAGCTGATGCTAAGAAGGAAGGAGCTAAAGTTAGGAAGCAATTTCCTCAGTTAGGAATTGCCTGGGGAAAGGTTGCGTCTTCAGATTTGCAAGTGATGCAGGTGGCAATTCTTGGAAAGGTGTTTCGACCCCGAAATGAAAACGGGCCGAAAGGGCCCTCACATGGTACGCAACTCCACTACACCCTGGAGACACCTGCAGTAGAAGAGGTTTCACTCTTAAGAGTATCGACAAACACAGAAAACATAGCCAATTCTTCACGAGGGAACGCAAAAGGAGACGGCACAGAAGATTAACTGGTCTAGTTAATCACTAATTCACAAACCGAAAACAATAGCGGTAAACCAATCGAATCGAACTCAACGATCCGATTTAGCATCCATATACACAGCTCATCGTTGGTTTAGGGGTTGTTTTTTGTTATAGGCGATATTCGTACGATTATTATCAGTGATTGCAAGCCTTTCCTGCTTTCAATTGTATAAATGCGTGTAAGGTAGTGCACTAGCAATAACATTCCCAGGCAGGAAATGAGGTGACTGAACCTTTCTGTTCAGTTAACAGATGAACTTTCGCCAACCTCCTGTTTCATTAATGATTTCATTTTGTCTTAGCCCAGCGACGATGATTCATTTACGGTACATGCATTTAAAATAAAGCGGATTTCCGCCTAATCAGATTGCCCCGGCTCTCTCAAGCGCTCCGAAAATCTTGCTTATACTGCGATTCTATTCCTCTTCAAATTTCACTCCAGCTATGCAACTACTCGCCTCTGCGAACGAGCAAATCGTACAAACTCAAAACCTAAACGGGTCGTTGCACAGGCAAGTATGTGAATTTTTTTTTCAATTTCGAGTGAAGAAGCTCCTAGTGCTCGAAGGCTCAAGCTTCTGGGACGGGCGATTGAAGGCGTTGATTAGCGTTGCGTAGGGCCAAGGCGCCCTCTTTTCCCTTCCGCGTCCGCCCATTTGCATTCACTGTTTGCTACTCTACCAGGAGACTGGGTATATACTTGTCGTTTGACTATAATCAGATTAAGACGCCTCAGAGACTCTGCGGATAGTAGCCACTTTATGGCCTGATCATTCGTTACGTCACATTATCCACCAGATCCCTTTCGATGCCTTTTCCCTCCTCCGACATTTCCCAGTGACGCTAAAGTTATTCAGTGCTCAGTGGTTCCTATTGCGCGCAACCGAGAGGAAGGTGCCATCATGCCTTGTCACTCAAGAGAGCCAATATTATCGAATTATTCAAGCAATTTTGACTAATCCTACTTTTACGAGTGAATAGCTTACCCATTTGTCTCTTAGCAAGTTCAGTATATTTGGCTCCAGCGTACGGTATATCCAAAGAACTCGAGTGTTCCCAGATCACGTGTCCATCTATAGCACACAATTTGTGTTATAAAATTGAAGCTGTGCTTACGACAAGAGTAGAAGACTATCAGTCTTGCCCCT